GTCGGTGTGCTGTTTCCAGCACGGGTGGACGATAAGGACTGCACTGCAGCGGCCTGCTCTTCATGCTCCATCTTCAAGGCAATAAGTAAATACGATGGTAATCCAAATTTGTGGCGAGCTGGGTTCCAGTCCTTGTCGGGGATTGACGCTCGAGGACGATGGAGACCACAATCGACGCTAGGCGTCACCGGTCGCGTTCGCATTGACAGTGAATTGTAGAAGACCTCGGATGGTGGATGATGGGACAGTCGCGTGCACGACACGGGCCTTGGAAGATGCCCTGTCAGCCCCCTGATTAGCTTTTTGAGCGAAACACTCCGGGATCGTCGATGGGCCCATCCGAATTCTGCATCGGTGTTCTCTAAAGAGTGGAAGTGCGCGGCCAAGTAGCGCGGCAAAGCACTGTCGACCAAACGCATACGTCATTCTTGACTGCACTAATTATGAACAGGGGCCTGCTGCGTTTGTTTACTTTCCCCACGCTTGGATCATCAAACGCAGTTTCGCTCCACCCACTCACTCGCACCCAGTATGAGGAGGCCGTTGGCGTTTGCTGCAAATGGCGGGGCGATCCAAGTCCCATTGGTCTACATTACACTAACCCGTACCAAACGCTTTGGCCAAGCCACATCATCACCGCGAACTGCAGCCAAGCGGATCCCAAACCAGAAAGTCTATGACACCTCGATGACATGCTGATCCACCGCGATTCGTCAGGCCCACCATAGCTTCGGCGACAAGGGATCGAACGCTCCGGTACACGTCGCAAAGATGATGCGATGGTTTGCTCGTGCTGTGCAGCGCATGTCTAGCTGCGCCATAGTTTCAACGGCAAAGGCCGGGGTAAAAACATGCACGACGAAGAAGCTGCTCGTGGAAAACAATCCTGGGCTGTGATGGGGCACGCAAATGGACACTTGGCACAACCCACCGACGACGGAAATGTAGATCAGTAGTAACGTCATTGGTGCTACATGATTGATGGTCTACTCCACGATGACCTGATACTAGTTTCTGTTATATATTCAACTCTGCCTGTTTCTCATCAATGCACTCAGTCTTCTTCAGACCACATCCTCACCATTCGACCCAACTTCCAGCAACTCACTCACACCTAAACCCCAAACACCCACACTCACCACTACCCAATCTCAACATGGCGGAGAAGGCTAAGCAAGTACTCCGGGACGTCGAGTCCAAGGCGGGTCTGCACGACACCACCGTGCACGAGCAGGTTGCCCCGTCCGTCAAGCATGAGACGGTGAAGCCGACAAAACACGAGGAGGTCAAGACCGCCATCGATAAGGAGGTCCACCAAGATCACTACCATCAGACCGTGCAGCCCGTCTTTGACAAGGAGGTTCTTCCCGAGCAGCACAGCCACCGTGTTGCAGGCGTTGAGCGCCGCGAATTTGACAATCGCGACGTCGAGGGCACCAAGAGAGCTGTTGCCGAGGAGCGCGGAAAGCTACGCGACCAGCGCACCGTGAACGAGACCCAGCACACTGAGAGCCGCGCGCCCGTCCTCCAGGGCGAGAATGTACACCAGTAAGTTTTCCACCAACGGCAAAGGCACGTCTGCAGGGCAAGTACCCTAACTAAATGACCACAGCCACATCCACGAGACGATCCAGCCCGTGCTTCACAAGGAAACCATCCAGCCAGAGGTCGTACACACCACTGTGCCCATCCATGAGGTCCACCACGAGCAGGCCCAGCACCACGCCACCTCCACCCTTCCCCCGGTCAACTTGTCCGAGTATAAGTCCCAGGGCGGTGTTCTCGGCGGTAGCCGAGAGCGCACTGAAGCATTTGAGGGATGTGTCGAGGGCACTCATCGCGAGGGATGCGGCCACAACATCTCGCACAAGGGACCCGTCACTCGATCAGCCGCTGGCGGCATGAGTGGAATGTCCTCGTCGTCGGCCACCCACCAGCCCCAAGGAATTTCCACCGAGACCCACAAGAAGAAGCCCAGCTTGATGGACAAGTTGAATCCCATGACCGATGCGGACGGAGATGGAAAGAAGGGATTCATGAGCTAGAGGTTTTGTACGACTACGTGCACTTGACAGATCTTGTTAGAAATCGGCATGGATACAACGGGGCGTTCGTGAGGGGGGAGGGTTATGTAGGAAACATTTAATGAAACAACCTTTGATCTTGATCATGCCCGGGCACTTGAAATATTGAAAACTCCATGTTGACATCCACATCTTCCAAAATCTGTAGACTTATTCATCGCTCATATTACATCAGTTGAGTTCGCAACATTATCCGGCGCCGACTCATCATAACCGTGTGTATACATTCTTTAGCTTGGTAATATGTTCCGAGTCCGAAGGCTCTGTCTTGGCAAACACCACATAAACATTCGACTCCACAACGATTTCCGGGTTTGATATATGCTGGAAACTTCCACCCGCCTGAGACTTTTTGCATTTGGCCGAAAAGATAGAGCTGAGCTTTGTGAGGAGTGACAGATTGGTGAGATGTCTTCGCCAAAATGACGACACGGCCGGCACGCAGCCCACCATAATCGCAATCGAGCACTCAATGACCCTTGATCCCACTGTTAGCTTCGTCAGAGTCCAGAAAGTACGATCAAGCGATCAAAAGAAACTCACGGGCCAAGCATCTCGCCCACATTTGTCGTCGCAGTTCCATTTCCTGCCAAAGAAATGGCCTTAAAGTACAGCGCGATGGCGCTCGCAGTGACTCCTCTAGATCAACTCTGATAAGCGGTTATAATAGACACAGGAGCCGCAACTACTCACAAAATGCCAACAAGAAAAATAATCACCAGCCCAATCTTCTTCTTCCGCGGAACCGTGAGGGTGAAGATGACCGGCAGCGGTAGGACAAAGATAACAACATCAGCCGCAAGCGAGACAGCGGCATTCCAGACGCAGACGCCGAGCCCTGACCTCATGCACCCGACCAGGAACGTCATGTCCATGACCTTGTTGTCGGGACTGCACAGCGCAGCGCCGTAGGAAGCGCTCCCGGCGAGGAAGAATAGCGGCACGATCAGAAGAACGTAGCATGCGTTCCTGAGCCAGGTGTACACGCCAAAGAGACGAAGGTACAAGATGAGGATCGGGACTTTGGCAAAGTAAGCGCCAAACGAGGCGATAAAGCCGGTGGCGACTGTCATCTGGGATTTGTAAAAAGTCAGTAGGTACTCGGGGCTGGGAGGGTAAGAGGAAACGGTGCTTGCGTACCCTGCCCATTTCTTCCAACGTGGCTTTCCCCCCTTCCCCCGCTGGTCGTCGTTAGTTCCTCTTTCCTTTCGCATTCATCCGACTGAGAGCCAAATCAGGTACGTACTACTACTAACTCTCATTTCGCTGTACAAAACACCAACGACGACAAGGAAGACGAGGCCCAGTATGGAGAACCCTAGTTGCCAAAATGTCGGTTAGGGGTGTGCTCCAAGCCACTGCATGTGCACGCAGTTCTACCAGGGGTTAGGGACAACCTACAATCGTCGGCAAGAAATCTCTTGCGAAGGCCATAATTGTTCAAAAGTCGTATTCCGACGAACAGTGCCGGGAGCACGACCGATGCGGTGATGGCAGCGAAGAAACCCGTTAGGGAAACCGTACTCATGGTGAACGAATCCTATCGCGGACTGGGCTGGAATAAAACGAGTGACTTCAAGCTGGTGAGTGGGTGGTCTCGGACTTGACAAGAAGGTGGTCGGTGCAACTTTGGTCGAGCCACAGGATGCCCGTACAGAAATGATCAAGTTTTGGTTCGTGGCAGCATGAATTATAGGGTGCCATCCAGACCCAGAAGGGCAGTTTCCTTGAGGGATCACTCGACATCGCAATCAATGCGCGTGATGGTCAAGCCACACAAGCTGAAGGGTTAAAGAGGACGTCGTCTATTTGCTGACGCAAAGTGCTGGGGTTGCGCGGCGCAGCTGTCAGCTTTTGATCGCTGTGCGACGGTCGAGAATGGCGAAGTTGATTTGGCTGTCATTTAAACCTTGGGGGTCGCGCGCGTGTTAGATGGCCTGTGAATCCCCCTTATCAGGCCGATGCACTGATCTCGTTCAAGGAATTAATTAGATGGGGTCTGGTGCCTTGACAACCGGGAGTCAAGCTGGCTCAAGCGTGCGAGATGCAGATGTCATCTCCATGTCCGAGTCTTCATTTCCGTGGCGGTACTCTCAGATCTGAAGTTGTGCAACGCAAGCAAATAAGAAATTAAGCTGTAAATAGAAAAAGGCGACATGGAGGTGGCAAACCAGCTATCAAGATCCATCATATCGCAGGCGGACAAGTGAATCAGCTCCCATCGTTCCCGTAACTCAGGAGAAGATAACAGAGGAGCCAGATGCATGCGTCGGACCGACCAGAGACGAGCTTTCAGTGACTGAGCGTGCTGGTGGCGGTTCACCGAATAACGTCAGGACGCAACGGCACGGCGACGACTTTTGGCTAAAATCGCGAGAGGCGCAACGGCGGATTGACGCAAAGCCCCGTGCTTCGTCTCGGGGACTGAGTGCTAATACGGCTCCATAGTTCATTAGACAAAGTGCAACTTGAAGCGTGAAATGATCTACATGTAGGGAAAGGGCCAGAATCACGATGTGTGGAGTGAAACGGTTACTCTCATAACTACCATAGGTACCAACATACATATTTTACCTTGCGTTGTACCTGTTATGGGTTTATGTTCTCGAAAAGCTCAAAGTTCAAGTGACATCGTGATGCTTCTCTTTCGTGTGCGATGTGTTTAATACCCACGAAATAGCCATGGCATTTTATTTGCAGGAGAAACCCAATTAAGGCAAAGAGAAACAAAATGAATAAAGAAGGTGTCCGTGGTCATCTGCTAAAAGTGCGCGAACTTGAACCCACAAGCACACCTCAGCCTACCAGTTGATGCCGAGATACCCACTATTCTCGCTTAGCGCGAAGTCTCCTGAGACTTCTTACATAATTGCCATCTCCAACCTCTCCACATATCAAATAACCCTGATATGATTTGCCCTTTTAGCTCAGTGGTAGAGCGCATCACTCGTATTCCGCGATATGATGAGGTCTTCAGTTCAATCCTGAAAGGGGGCATTTCCATTACCCTTTTGCAGGCAGGAGTTCAAACCCTGCGCTTTTTTCCTTTTGTTCTTTGCCATGAACGACAGGGGTTGGTCAGGTAAATAACAAATTCTCGTTTGAAGCTTGTCGCAAAAAGTCGACTTGCCCACGCCAGCGGCTCAACGGGTGGAGAAGGCCAATCAATGATAGCAACGGCACCACGCCGCTTGTTTTTGGCATCTTCCGTCACCACCGGGACCTTTTCTTCGTCAAACCCCCTGCTCCATTTGCCTTGGGCGACGGCGGTTCTGCTTTTCCCACCCTTTCCCGCCTTCGCTTTTCGAGACCCTTCATTTCTTTTCTCTTTCTCTCCTCCCTTCCCGGATTTTTTTTGCCCACGTTGTTGATTTCGATAGTAGAGCCGAGACTTGTCTCAGCACTGATGATTTCGTGCCTGCAGCCTCTGTGGAGCTTCCTGGTGCGGGTGCGAGGGGGCTCTTGCTGTCGGGTGGTGACGGAGGAGGGGGTGTTGGTGGGTGATTCGACGGGCCCGGGCCCGGGCCGGGGGGTTGTCCTCCACCAGTACTTTCATCGTCGTTCTCGTTGTCGTCAGGTGGAGGGTAGTGCGCTTCCCCGTAAAAAGTCACTCTGCGCAGGCTCTGGACTCGGTTGATACACCTCGGGCGGGAATGCTGGGGCCGGCGCGCTCTCATGTTGGATCGCATGAAACCGACCGTTGTCCGCTGCATCCTGGCGAGATGGTAGGATCACGAAGTCGGAGGCGTTATAATCGGGAAAGGTGAAGGTGAAATCGAGCCAGGTGTTGTTTCCTTCCGGCCCCCAGGCTTGCTGCAGCAGCGAACGGAGCTGTGCTCTCATGGCGACGTACAAGGCCTTGGGAACCGGCCACCTCCTGCCTGGCTCAATCAGGTACATTTGTTCTGGATTCAAATAATCGAGCAGGATCCTTCTGGCCTGGTCGGCAGCTTCCGGCAGTCCGGTGATATGTATGCCTCTGCTTGCGAAGAGGATAGGGGTGGTGCCGCCTACGAATTCCGCCTTCTCCTGACAAGGCCCAAAATCGTTGATGAAGAAGAAGCGGTCTTCTGGCCGCATGATTTGCTGAGCCGTTGCGCTCGCTTTCCAGCGATTCCGAAGCGCCAGTCTTTCCTTGGCGGCGCGATACTCGACCGGTCTGGGCAGCCAGGGCGCGGCCGCAATCATCATCTGCTCGAGCACGATGAAGATGTAGAGGGGACTCTCGGTTTCCAGGTCTATCTGGAGCCATTGCGATCTGAGCGCGTTCCGGATGCCAGCCTGCAGAGTCTAAATGGCCTTGTGGGCCGCGAGCACGTCTTTCTGGGCCGCGGCTTTGGTGAACTTCTCGACGGCGGTGCGGAGATTGATGAGCGAGTATGGTGTGCTTTGCCAGATCCTGTATTCCCGGTCATACCACGGGCGCATGAACCGCCATTGGCTCTGGCGATGCCTCATGCAATCGATTGTGCGCTCGTAGCTCCCCTGGAGCCCCTCGCCAAAGAATTCGTGGGCATTCTCCATCCTCGCGTGGTAGACGCGGTTGTGACTGGCGTTTTTCGAATACCGAACATCGGTGGCCATGAAGTCGTCCGGATAGATACTGCTCGACCCATAGCGCGCCCAGGGGCCTTCCCAGTAGAGTTCGTTCTGGAGTGAGGCAGCCCAAAAGATTGGGAGGGGACGCCATGTTACGATGACTGGGTCTTGTTGATGTCGGGGCTTTGCGTCCGGGCCGTCGTCTTCGTGAACGGTGGTGGGATAGGAAATAGAACTGCGGATCATCGGGCCATTGTGCCGTGTGTAGCAGACAAGGGCCTCCATGTTTGCCGTGGTCGTTGCCCCATTTTGGATTCGCGTACAGGACACCACCCCACAGAGCCAGGTCAGATGAGAAGCCAAGTTCTGTCACTCGCTCGTCTCGATAGAACTTTTTGAGTTATGTGTTAGCTACGTAGCTTAGATGGGCGGCCTCTGGTTCTAGGTTCATCCATCAGGTAAACATACCGGTTCGATCTTTTTGACTTCATCGAACATCTCATCGGAAAATTTATGAACACCTAGCAGCAGGTTGACAGCGTGCTTCAGAGATCCAGTTAGCTGCCTGAGCTGCGACCAACGCGTTGTGGGTCACATATCATGAGTTCATGAAGAATCTGTCAGTGTTCGCAAACCGCGTCAGCCATTCCAGCTTCTCATCATAAATTCCTTCATCCATCCGTAAAACTTACTGCCTTTGCAAGATGCACCCGCGCATTGTGCTTTTCAGCCATGTTCAAGCCGGGCTCGAATATCGTGGGATCGAGTCGCGTGGTGGGATTGACGAGCAAGCGACGCACGAGGCCCACGCTCAAGTGACAACTTGCAAGGTGCGTGATCTTGCCCCCTTCTTTCGACCTCATTTTATTGAGCGATGTGTATGCGAACGGTGATGGGTCTTCTGGGAGGGTGCCGTAATGTTCGGGATCCTCTGGATCAAAAAAGGTCCACACCACGCTGAATCCGAGAACTTGAAGCTCGTCCCATAGAGCCTTAATTTCTTCACCCCAGTTATCATCCTCGTCGAAGACGTTCGTCTCCATTTTCCAAATGTGCTCCGAAAAGTCTTTGTTCAGCCTCTCGCCGGGCATTTTTGTCAGCGGACCATGGAGTAGCGCTTGAAACCTGCAATTGTATCAGTCCCAGGAACGAGTGAGGAAAAGTTGGATCTACATATACATAGCGTAGGCAATTACCATTCACTCGAAGATAAGTGATTCCAAAAAATCCTGTTGGCCAGCTCAATCACGACCCGCAGCTCAGCCCAAAGCTCGTCATCGTCGACGGTCCAATGCTCACGGTAAGCATCCGAGGGCACCAGATCAAACCACCGAAGCTCGCTAAACGCGGTGCACCAAGTTTCCTCCCGAACTTCAAGCTCACAAAAGCTAGGGTCCTGCGGGTCTCCTGATGACGGCAGCGCATGGTTCATTGTTCCGAGCTCCCAGCTGCGGATTCCGCAGTTCTCCTGCTGTTGGTATCGCTCAGTGCAGAAGATCTTGTCGAGCTCCGGATCTGGCGGTTTGGGCATCGCGGTGATGGGCGCCGGGCCATAGGGGTTCGTCATGGGACCGAGTTGAATGCCGATTGGAATTGGGATGTTTGGATGGGTTGGTGCAAGGCCCGAGCTGTTTCGCTCTGCCCACCTGGGGTGGTCCCAGCCTCTGTACCTGGACTTTCATGGCGTGGACGGAACTTCTTCGTGCTGGATCTCGTCCAGTTCGGTTCGGAGAGGGCGGAGATCAATGTCGGGGGCAGAGTTGGGCGTCGGTGGCATCTGAGACCGCGATGGTCCCGCCATGTTGGGGCTTTAAAGACTGACCGGGTTCTACTCCGGATGATTAGTAGGAATTAGCGTTCGAGGTCCTGGTGACAGTGAATGAGGAATTCAATTCTGCAGTATTCTATCATTCACGAGGTGCATCTTGGGCCGATGATTAACAGCGCGCGTTATACAAGGGAGCGGCAATGACAAAAGCGTCTCCGGATTTGGACGTCGAGTCCAGTTTCGGTTTGTTCTGGAAGCCTTTGTCTGACCCAAAACGTCTGGGAGGCTGGAATAAAAAGAACGGAATGGCTCGAGTTTTTTTGGTAGTGATCATAGAAGACACGACAAAGAGTACTGAATCTCGAGATCGAACTCGGTTGTTTTTCCACTTGAATTAACTGGGAATTATCGCACGCCTCCGCCACACCTTGCTCGCCACTAACAAACCTGATAATTACAGGGCACGTACAAAATACGTTGCCCACGTTCTTCCCTCAATGGCACAATTTGTGCATGTACTCCATCTCAGACTTGATGAAACGGCTTTTCTGTTTTCTAATTAACCTCTATAATCACGCCTCACGCTAATTATGCCACGTGCCTACCAGGTACTTAGGGTAGTTGTCTGAGCATGAATTCCAGGCCGATGCTGTGGACTTGCCATACGCAAGTATTTCTTGGTGTCATTTATGATGTTGAATTGGGCGTGGTTGTACGTATTCTACGAGTCTGTTTTCAACTTCAGAAGCAATATCTGGGTGTCGGCGCTGTGCTGCGGGAGGAAGAGCTTCTTTTTACACCGAAAATTGGTTGTTTGTTGTTTACATGTAAGTCTATAACGTTACGTCAATTACCTAATGCTCGGATTCTATGAGCACGATCTTGAATCCAGTCCAAAAGCAACCACAGTCTGCAATACCGTCCTGCGCAAATCTAATGCCATTGCGCCCACAAGAGGTATTGTGATTCTTAGTGCCACCGTTCTAACTTGAAGCCTAGCAATCATACCCAGTAGCCACATGCAATGTAGTAGATCTATGCAAGCTTATCCCCTGCATCACACCCTTGTGCTGCAAAATCAATTTTGAGCTCATAGACGTCGAAGAGTGATGCACTGCTGTGCTCAGTTTCTCTTGCTGAACTGACTTGTGCCCATAAAATGCCCTGATCATGGTGAAATGGGCCTGGTAGTTTCTGCTGAAGATACCTTGTACCTACGGCAGTCTTTGCTGTGGCTGGCCTGGGAACATACATTCTCTCCCCTTAAGCATGTACCTGGCTGGGATTCCTGATTAGCATAACGTTCCATGGATCATTTGGTGGTTGGTTAGACTTAGGACGTACGTACCAGGTAGGTAGGTATTGAACATCTCTAAATATCATCAAATAGGTCATCCGGACATGAACCTAGGCGCCCAGAAAGCGCCGCAAGTAGGTACCTGTAGTGGTGAGGAATTACCTTACCAACTCTATCAGGAAGGCCAGTGTCATATTGACGATAAACCTCATCTAATAGTTAGCGCGGCGTTTTCCTATCGCCACCAGGCAGGTCAAAATCAGCTCCGGCTTCGACAAGCAGGACCGCAATCCCCTCCTGCGCATAAATTTCCCATATATCAAGAGACTGTCCATCTGGCCCTTGCCAGGGTTGGCGCATCAGAACATGCAAAGGTGTGTCCCCTCCCGCATC